AATACTCTCATTAAAACTTATATACATATTGTTCCTGTGAACTTCACAGTCGGGTATAAAGAGACCCCTAAGAAATGTGAACAGAAAAACTCCACAGCAAAGAGTTGTCGTGATAACAAAAGAGTCGTAACTCATTGCAAGACATTGTACAAGTAGCATCCATCCATCGCAGGTGGAGATTAAAATAAACCTTAAAAAAAAACGTAAAAACATCCATATGTATATGTGTTGTCCGTAGGCAACAATGAAGACCATATGCCAAAGATAAATAGAGAAGGAGCATCTATTCCATTGAAAACTCTTGGAAGATGATCGTATCACCAAAAAACAAAATACATACCAAAGGTCTAGGCCAAAAGCTGAAGCCATTAGCACCATTGAAACCATACCACCATTAGAAAACAATAATCGAAGAGGAAGAAGAAAAACTATCAAAAATCTCCAAGCGACCACTGCGTGTATTACATCAATAATGTCAACATAGTCTCCACCAACTGAATAAAGAGCAGAGTTAAAAAACCTCCTCTGCCCCAACCTTCGAGTCTGAACCCCAGTCTTTCCCAATTCCTTGTGTGGTCTTAGAAGCTGGTTGAAGAAAACCGTAGATATAATATTCATCGATGGAGAACTCAGAACTCCTTCTTTGTACCTTCTCCATTCGAACAACCACCCACCAACCAACTTAGAGACACAACGACAACAGTAGCTAGTCCAATGAACCCACTTGGCATTCATGAAAATAAACCAGAAGAAAGAAAAAAGGAGAACCAGTTCCTCCATTCCCCAAGTATAAACATCAGAGTCCAAGAATGCGTAGGTGCTGTTACCACCGAGAAAACCTCCTTCCCAAACTAAGTCAATCCCAGTGTTTATAATCCATGTCATTAGAACCAAATAACAATTAAAACAAAGGCATAAGAAAGAAAAGAACCGAGTAAACCTCCAAAATTCTGTCATAAAGATGAATAAAGACGGACCCACGCAGCATAAGCCATCCTTGGACCTCTTAGTTAATATCATGTAATCCATAATTATCCTCCCGGGAAGCCAGTAAAAATCACAATAGAATTTTAGACTTATCCTCCATGGCTCAAACGTTTGATAGAGAGTAAGACCACATACCTCCTTTGTCTTTGGTACCTCCCTGGGCTGGTTTAAAGAGACCAGAATAATCAGGAACAAGTCCCCAGCTATGAAAGCAAAACCTTGTTCCAACATAAACCATAGTTCCATCCCTTGAAAAAACATGTCATGAATGACCTTGATGATATCAAAACCTGCAAACCCCATATCCGAACCTATTACCCTCCACCCAAAGATCTTATCACCAAACCACCAGCAAACCAAATAAATCGTTTTATTAAAATATGAAATGGCAAAGCCAAATATGAGCATTACACTCATTAAACTAACAGGAAAGAAAAGTAAACGCTCAGATAAGCTCCAAGCTATCATTGAAAATACTTGAAAGAACAAACATAAAACCAAATCCCCAAGCTCCCACTTCTCATGTTTGATGAAAGACACAACCATAAGACTCAAGGTTTGTATGAAGGCTTCGGATTTGAAGGACCCTTCTCCTCAGCTTGCTTAACACCTCCCCCCCTCTTGAGGCCCTGTTTATTAGTAGTACGCTTGCGGGGAGAGAGAAGGACTTGGTTGAACTTCTTCGTGGGATTCCCCGTTGTGTTAACACTAAACACCGGCTTCCTCACGTCCTGCTTCTTCTCCCCTCCAGCTCCTGCTAACTTGTGCCCAGCCACCTCCAAACCTGCCATAATCTCTTCAGCGTCACCACTGTCCTCCTGACCCTCCACTTCCTCATCTGTGAGATCTTGTAAGTCCTCTTCTCCCACGAAAAAACCATCCCCCAGCCCCACATTATCCTCCATTTCCTGATCAAGCTCCTTTCCCTCATTAACCTTTACCGTTGCAACGTCTACAGGTTTGCTGGAAGAAAACTCTCGATTCAGTGCAGCTCCCTGACCAAAGGGATCAGTTTCTGACACTAAATTTCGATCTTCCTCCTCTTGGCGAACCTGCACATTCCTGTCCATCACCATTATCTCTCCCTCTTCTCTCTGCTCATCAGTTCTAGGGCGAGACGGACTTCTAACACTTCTGTCACGGCGCTGGGACCACCTCTGCTCTTCCTGCTCCTCCCCTCTTCCTTGTGGACGTCGAAATTGACGGTTACGTAGTACTCCCTCCTCCTCCCTTCTTGATTTGTAATCAGTATACGACCTCCTGTTACTCCTATCCGACCCCTGGACCCGTTTTGCCTCGTATTCCTCGTATTTTTTACCTTTTCCTTTAACAAGATACCCTGCAGAATCCTTATTCTTTTGGGAATGACTTTCAACGCCATTAGAGAGCACACCACGATAACTCCTTGCTCCATCCTCTGCTCTAGCCTCTCCTGATCCTCTATTCTCTCTCCTTTGGATCATTGTTTTCACCTTTGTGGGGCAGTTATGGCTGGCATGGCACAAGCTAGAGCAAAGATCGCAGCAACCAAATAGCTTGTCATACTTAAGAGAAACGTGAGCCTCTTGCTCCTCATAGAACTCACCTCCATTGAATGATAAAGTCGTATCAAAGCATAGCGGCTCACTGCCATCAATGATCACACGAATCTTGCCGAGGTCCAAGTCGATGTCCGTGGTCACTCCAATGGCATCTCCTATGCTCTGAAAAGTCTTGTCTGACCAGAATTCAGTTGGTAGACCCTCCACTTTTATCCAGAAAGGAATCTCCGAAGGGTAGCCGTTTGTCATCCTTGGTTTCCACCGGGCCAGCGAGAGCATAAAGTAATCAAAGTGAAACGGCTGCATCTCCAAGACCGCCTCCATATCCCCTTCTTCTTCAAAGTGAAACTGGAATTTCCCAAGTCCTAAATCAGTGCCGACGACTTTATCCTCCATCTTCCAAAACTTGGGAAGCATCACAATCAAAGAGTCGACCTTCTGATCTGCCGGGTTGAAACATCTGCCAATCAAAGTCTTGTCATAACTTTTGATCAAAGCAGAATTATCAAAGTGTGGAACAGAAATTTTCAGTCTCTTCCGGGTCCCCTCACCGTTCTTCATAAGGTATCTTACTGTACTATATACATATTTGTCTGAAACATCTTCGATGACAGGAGAAGAAAAAAACTTACTAAATTGATGGTACAGTGACTTATAGAAAATTGATGATGGTACAGTGACTCTGAGACGATAATCTAACAGTAGTTGTTTCAGGCTTCTCGTCTGATTCCAACGTCTGCTCCTTCAAACGATGTTGTCTGCTATGAGCGACATCTTCAATCAAACCTTAAATCTTCAAACCTTTTTAAATTTAACGTTTTACTATTTATAACCTCAAAATTATTTTTTTTTTTTTATCTTTATAATTAATTTTTTCATAAATTTATATACTATACATAAATTAAATAGTCTATGTACACCAAAATAAAATAAAATAGTAAACTATTATATAACATTAAAATAAAATGCATAGAATAGAAAAATACATTAAATAAAGCTCACACAAAATAAAAATACATCAAACAAACTTAGCACAAATTAAAACAAATTTTACAAACCCTTAAATATTATATATCTTACAAGTGGTATTTTATATATAACTTTCTAAAAAATTTGTGTATATGTATTATTTTATCTTATATGTAATTCTTATAATTTTACTATATAATATTATAATATTATATGTTGTATAATATATTAAACATGTTTTATATACATTTGTGAAGTTTTATTATTATAAGTAACTTTTGTTAATGTTAAAAATTACAATACAAATGAATAATTTTTTTAAATTTTTTTTGAGGATTCATGGTTGGAAGAATCAATCCTCAAATCTTCATTTTGAGATTTTGATCCCCTTAAAATAAAGTATTAGGTTGGAGATGTTCTAAACAATACTTTCTACCGCTACTGAAAGGTCTCCTCACTGTTCCCACTCCCCACCATGAAAATTGGCCCAACCGAGTATTCTTCTAGCTAGAAAGTGTTGATGCACCCACTAATTTTCAAGAGATATCTCAATCCTGGAAGTGAACTGGTTCATCCCCCCCCCCTCCAAAGAAGTCCATCCAGCAGCTATTTCCCTAGCAAATAACTCAAGGTAAAAAAATAAAAATAATAATAATAACTCAAGGTACGGAGCTGGTTAAGACATGAACATGTTCCATTCTACACAAAAGTCCAAGTGAAAAAAGAAAAAGTAGGAACCTTGTGCGGCAAGAATGTTGATGAAGCAAATAGCGGAACAAAGCTGTTGAAGTATACCTCTAATTGGGGCCTTCCTCGAAAAATCTCCATAGATGCTTCTGCTTGTCATGTTCTTAACCAAGAAATCAAAATATGACCTATGTTTTGTTTCTGCAAGCTATAAGATACATTAGAGCATTTCCATTAGAGTTTCATAAGGGGGTTCATCCCTTTCCCAAGAAAAAAAAAAATTAAAATAATATTATTTGGGTGAACCTAGTTCACATGGGGTTCGGCACGTGGCGGCACCCCATTTGTCCGAATTTTTTTTTTTTTTTTTTAGAAAACAAAAAAAAATTAAAAAATCAATTTTTTTTTTTTGGTGAACCCCATTGGGGGTTCACCAATGTGGATGCTCTAAGGCGGTGAAACAGACGATCCGTTTGTTTCCCAAAAAAAAAAAAAAAACAGAACAGAATATCCGTTAGCATAATATTTAAGTAACAATGGACAAGAATTTACTTACCTTGGTATAGCGGTAAGTAAATTACATAGGGTTGTATCTATGCATTAATATCTCTTAAAAGCTTATTTTTTTGCATTTTACACATCATACAGAATTTTTTTCTTAAATGCATGCACATTTACATCCAATTGGTTCGTGCACAATAACATTTTTGAGTCGTCTCAGTACAATAACTACAACTACTCTTATTGATTGTGTACGAGGAAAAGTACAACTAAGTTCAAAAAATATAGTTAAGCTTTTTGTGTACATAAAAAATATTTTGCTTTTATTGAATGAGTAAAATCACAAGTAATTCATTATTGTTTGCGGAATTTATCTCATTCCGCAAAACTTCTTTCAGAGATTAACATGATTATTAATTACCAATCGTCGTTGATAAATGATAAGGGAACTATGTGCTAATGGGACAGAAAATGATGGAGTAATTAGCATTGGCACAAGTAAAAGTGCTTGTAGCATCGTCATATGGGTAGCTGTACGCTTTGGGGCAAGCTGTTTTAAAGATCCTCGAGTAATGGGTGGGTGGACAAGTCTCCGGCTTATTGAATGCACCGGTGCAACAATAGTCTGGTCTTCCAAATGCCTCGCAAGCGCTCTTACACCCCACAACATCCCCCCCGTTAGGATTAGGAACCGTTAGCTCGTTCGGACAAATCTTGTTCACGTCTGAAACGCATCCCACGTTTTGACAATCGCCTGAGCCGCCTTGCGTCTTGATTTCCATCTGGACGTTGTAACCATCAACCAGGCTTACATCGTAAAAGTCTATCGCGCCACCAAGACCGATTGTGAATTCGGCGAGTGTAACGGGCGAAGTTCCTCCTGCACCGGAGCATTGTAATTTGCCACAGTCTCCGGTGAGGCATTTTCCGTTGCCAAACGCGTCGAAATTGCAGCCGGTTCGGCCCCAGATTCGGCCGGACCAGCCGGCAGGAGCAGTTAGGTCGACAGAAGCTCCTGGGGTTAAGTCGAATCCGCCGCCGTTGAGTTGTAGACCGTTGTCTCCGGTGATGATTCCAGGCCAAACGGGGAAGCTGCAGCTGTTCACTATGGTAAACACTGTACCGGAGACTACGGAAATTGCACCTTGCAAAATAAACAGTCCAAAATATTTGATTAGGTTATTTATATCATTTTCTCTGCATGGAACAATAAAAGTTGATGAAAACTTTTGTGCAATTTTAATCATAAGAAAAATTGATTTATTTCTGAACAAAAAAAGAAAAAAAAAAAGAAAAAGAAAAACTGATATATTTGAATGTTTGTGTATGCATGCATACCTGTGGCTATGATGAAGGAGAAAAGGAGGATTTGTAAACCGGAGAGATTCGTCATTTTTAATCTCAAGTTTCGATCTAATTAATGTGTATTGATGAATGAAACTTTGTGTCATTGATGCCTCTATTTATAGTTATTTCTGTGGTCAGTAGTTGCTGGTACCGCCTGAACTAAATTGGCCGGCCAAGGTACAGACAAAAATTAATTTTCACGTTTTTATAAATTCAAGTAGGTTAGAAAGACTTGACAATGTGTTTGAATACAATGAATTCTAGTCCGTATCGCAGTTTAGGGCTGCAGAAGTTATCTATTGACTTAACATTCCTAGAAAAATAAGGCAAATTGCGATTATTAATTCTGTGAAGGTTGGACTTTGATCTTGATTTTAACATGTGCCTATTATAACGTAATTATTTATTTCCTAATAAATGAGGTAAAAAGAACAGAAATATGCATTAAATGAATAGAGAAGCTATATTAACCTCTTTTTTAAAAAAAAGAAGCTATATTAATTAATAGTTTATTATAGTATTCAAAGTAAAAATTCATAAATATTAGTTTTCCAAATACAAACACTATTTTTTTTATTTCAGCGTGTACATGTTTATTTATTCTATTTGGAAAACTTAGTTAAATTCAATTTATCTTCCCACTTGATGATTCATATCATACATATATTGAGAAACTGAAAAGGACAGACGACTTATATAAGATTACAGAGACAACAATGTAGACTTTAATGTATTCTAGTCCGTAACATTGTTAAGGGCTGCACACGTTATCTATTTGATTCAAGAGTTTCAGATATCTACCAGAAATCAAAGTAAAACAAAAAAATGGGTGAAATAACACAAAAAAAAACAAAATTTATGATCTAACTAAAAACACATTCTCTCTTCTCTTTTCCCTTTCTACTTTTCTCTTACTTCTCACCAAAAACCAATTACCCTTTTTTTGTTATTTCACAAAAAAAAACCAATATTGTATCCGTTAAAAATAAAGTATATTGTTGAGTATTGTTTCATCTTGCTTCTTTTGTTTAGCTATGTAAATGCCCCATCAAGAAACCTAATGATCCTGAAACAAAGAAATATCACTCTATAATTGACACTATGTTCTGATCCGATCTAGATATTGGTAATGTTAGGATGTAAAGATGTTTTGATATGACTTAAAGTCCATTTTGAAAGATTATGCACATGAGAGTAAGAGCATCCACAATGGGAATTCTTAAGGGAATTCTTAGGGTATGTGGAACTCATTTTCTTAAAGTTTACGTCAAAAGAATGCTTAAAATCTTTTGGTAAGGATTAATCCTTACACTATTCACGTGCCTCGTTAACCAAGTGACGGGCCCGTGAATGGTCATTTTTTTTTTTAAATTCGAAATATCCAAAATTAATCCTAAATGCTTTTCTCGCTAAGGATTGCACATGCTCTAAGACAGAGCTTAACTTGGTATAGCGGTAGTCTAGTAGAAGATATTCATAGGGTTGTATCTATGCATCAATATCTCTTGAAAGCTTGATTTTTTGCATTTTACACATCATACAGAATAACTACAATTACTCTTATTGATCGTCTACGAGGAAAAGTACAACTAAGTTCAAAAAATATAGTTAAGCTTTTTGTGTATATAAAAATATTTTGCTTTTATTGAATGACTAAAATCACAAGTAGTTTATTTATTAATGTTTGCGGAATTTATCTCATTCCGCAAAACTTTTTTATTCTTCAAGCTATTACAGAGTATTATTGATAAAGGAACTATGCGATAATGGGACAGAAAATGATGGAGTAATTAGCATTGGCACAAGTAAAAGTGCTTGTAGCATCGTCATATGCGTAGCTGTACGCTTTGGGGCAAGCTGTTTTAAAGATCTTCGAGTAATGGGTGGGTGGACAAGTCTCCGGCTTATTGAATGCACCGGTGCAACAATAGTCTGGTCTTTTAAACGCTTCGCAAGCGCTCATACACGCCACAGCATTCCCCCCGTTAGGATTAGGAATCCTTAGCTCGTTCGGACAAATCACGTTCAGGTCTGAAACGCATCCCACGTTTTGACAATCGCCTGAGCCGCCTTGCGTCTTGATTTCCATCTGGACGTTGTAACCATCGACCAGGCTCACGTCGTAAAAGTCCATCGCGCCACCATGACCGATTGTGAATTCAGCGAGTGTAGCTGGTGGAACTCCTCCTGCACCGGAGCATTGTAATTTGCCACAGTCTCCGGTGAGGCATTTTCCGTTGCCGAACGCGTCGAAATTGCAGCCGGTTCGGCCCCAGATTCGGCCGGACCAGCCGGCAGGAGCGGTTACCCCGACAGAAGCTCCTGGGGTTAAGGCGAATCCGCCGCCGTTGAGTTGTGGAAGGTTGTCTCCGGTGAGGATTCCAGGCCAAACGGGGAAGCTGCAGCTGTTCACTATGGTAAATACTGTACCGGAGACTACGGAAATTGCACCTTGCAAAATAAACAGTCCAAAATATTTGATTAGGTTATTTATATTTATTATTTTCTCTGCATGGAACAAACAACTGTTTATTATTCTTGCTAAGCCGCCTCGAGTTGACGGTAAGAATAATATCATAGCTGGCTCAGACATGACCGCAATGAGTTTCTTTTACAGAAACACTATCTAGAGTTTTTTTCAAAAAAAGAAACACTATCTAGAATCTAGAATGCTCACATATATATAGGGACCATTTGATGACACGTCATACTCAAGGGTAGATAAGTAAGAAAAGGACGAGAAACCTAGGATGATCCATTGATTATGCTTGTCTCCGGCCAGTTTTATAGCCGTTAACTGAACGTTTCTCCTAGCTAATTGCGATCGATCCGTAAATTTGGTTTGGGAATGTTACGTTGTGGACAGCCTTTAGTGGTTTGATACCATCATTATTCAACCTCCATTTCTATGGACTCCCTAATGCAGATATGTGGACCTGCTACTGCTGCTTCTGGTAGCTTCTCTCACGGGTCCATGGAGGACACTCACATATGCATAGTTTAGTTATCAACCGCGCACGAAGGGACAAGGACAACAAGACTATTACATTAAAACATTGAATTCTTTGTTTTCATTTTCTTTGTGTTTTCCCTCATCATAAAGCTAGTGATGAGGAGATTGATTAGAGATAGCTTTGCTTCCACTTTTTATATGAGATCTGATTTCATAAACCCGTGAAAAATATGCTGTGATTTGGCTTGTAATCCTCTGCTTAACAAAACTGTTCATATGATAACAATATACTGATCATGGATGTTTCTTCGAGGATTTGCTTTGCGAGACGTCATGACTTTGTTGTTTACGTTATTCCTCGTAATGTTAAAAATCGATCATTATACTCACTGTCATATCATGGGGTTACCTTCAGTGGAATTATTGGTTGGCTTCAGCAAACACGTTTTTTCAGCCTTTTATTGTTACTGAAGGTCTTGAATTAGCGAGAGACTACAATGAAATCAAAGCGATGAATCAATCTGTATTATTGTCTGCACAATGTCAGTTTACTCTGTCTTCTTCCCCTTTTGCAGGAAATTATTCTCTAGTGTGATAGCTTTGTAAGACAAGACATAAGATGCTCTCTATTACTTAGCAGTTAGCACTAGCTAGCAACCACAAGGATTGTCTGCCCTGGAAAAGAAAAATACTGGTTACATGAATTTATTGTCATAATTATATTTGCTAACATCGTTAAAATATGATTATAAAATAAGCATGGGACCGATTGGTTATACATACCGACATTTAAGTAACATGAAAGTTCATACTTCCAAGTTGTTCTTAACTATTAGGAAGTAGGATATGTACCTATGGAAGTTATGGCTTATGGACTCATGGAAGTGAATGTATACTATAATTGCTTATTCGAAATCTACCTTTGAGACCCCATGATTTTATATATTCTATCACAGAGTTCACACATACATGCACAACCTACACTACAAAGATGTTTCTAACCAAATAGTACTATATTCTTTTATTTAAAAAAATAATAATATGATACATATGTATATTGCATACATCCATGAACGTGTACTACCTTTCCTTGCACTCATGACACATGCTTATTTATTATTTCTATCGTCTGTATGGTCTATTCAGTGTGCCATATACCTTCATTGATCATATAACGTGAAGACATATAATAGAGAGAATTATATTAAGACTTAATATGTGCGTGGCTTGAATTAACACGATCCAATTATTTATTCAACAACATCATATATATACTCTTAGCTAACAAAAAAACTATCATATATAGACTTTACGTTTGTTATTATTTTCATTTTTATACATTGTCATAACTTTACGTTTGTTATACATGTTTTTGTTTCTATATCATACGATGGTGTTTATAATCTAAAGATTAAAAACAATAGTTAAAAGCAGAATTCGAATTCAAAATTGAAGAAGAATAATCATAGTTTTGAGTTTCGTGATTTCAAACTGCGGAATAAAGTTAGCTATGGCTGTCGCTAATTATATAATTCATATTAAATCTATTAGAATCATAATGATGAAATGAAATGAGTTTTGTTTAAAATAGATGGAAGTAAATAGAAGAAGGAACCTCGCAGTCTCGCAATGCTTAGAGTTTTAGCACCCAGTTCCCTTGAGAAATAAGTTAAGCTGTTTTCAAGAAAAAACGATGGCTCAACAGATCAATTTTGGTTTCTTAACATTATTTTTCTTGTGTTTACTTAGACGTTTTAATAGGTGGATTATAAGCAGTGGTTGTAGGGCTGAGAGTCGAGATCGGTTCTTACACAATGCATTTTATCTTTTATGGTGCATTGCAATGAGGGGTCTTTTTCTCTTTAACAGCTGCAATAAGGTGTCTTAATCGCGAGTGTTTACAATATGAATGAAATTCATTTGAAATAAAATGATCTTAGAAAAGCAAAAAGGACCACATAAAAAAAAGACATGTCTAAACTCTTAAAGAGTAGAACAAAAAATAAAACAAAATGATCTTAGAAAAGCTAAAAGGAATACAGAAAAAAAGACATGTCTAAACTCTTAAAGAGTAGAACAAAAAAATAAAGCACTCGCGATTTCACATTTGCTGATGAAAGAAAAGTCGTGCCATTCGGATTTGAGATATTCTTCCACTTCATGTTTGGCCCACGCGTCTTGCTTTTCCTGCATTTACTTTTATGATCATGGGTGCTAAGTGTTATGATATGCTATTTTCTTTATTTGAAAAACTTTCATTATGTGATAAAATAAATGGACTACTATCAATACTAAATAAGAGAGCTTATATATGTGCTTAAAATTACCGCTTAGTCTTCAGGTTTAGTTTCGTTTTTTGTGTGTGACAATCATTAGATAATATGAAATTGGTAAGGGAAGGAAAAAGGGAAACCCATTCCCTGACCAAGTGCCCATCTCATGAACCTTTAAGAAACAGAAGACTATTCAGAAAATAAAGAGATATAAAATAAAACTTCAATAATTGGAAAATAAAGGACCAATAAGCCACACAAAAGAGCAGCAATATTTTAAAATGCATATACGAGTTACAATATAATTAAAAATGGATTCAATTTGTATACATTATAAAATGCCATTTCACCTACAAATTATGTAGTCATGGAAAGTGACAAATGACCATAATAGAAACTTCAAACAAAATCTAACAAAGCCTATAAAAATAACGAATAGAATTACTATAAAGTTTAAAGCTAAACATAACATCCCAACCATAAGAATTATTGACCAAGTCATGACTCATGTATATACTATTTTTTAAAAAAGATTGTTAAATTCCAAAAACATTCATTTCACGTTTTTATCGTCCCCTTATACTTGTGTATTGGCTTTGGATAGTAACAATTACTAAGAAATAGCCACACAGTATCATATAAATCCAATGCATATTTATCAGGAAAATTTGAATTCCAAGAGTACTTGTTTGTATTGCATGCAGACAAATATATGTATATTACGTGTGTGAATTTGATTTTGAGAAGTACTTATCAATGTCAGATATCAACTTCCATGCATTTTGTAGGAAATAAAATAAAAACGAAATTACAAAGACTAGAACCTTATTACTAGATCACTTGGTCATCAAGAATATACATTATAAATCATCATATAATGTGGATCTCAATGATTTTCGGTTAACATGTGGAAGTAATAAATTGCCACACTTCTTCAATCAATATAAAAAAATATTTAACAAGTCCAAAGCTCTAAAAATCTGTAAATGGTATTTGACCAAAAAAAAAGTTGGTTTCACTGACACAATAATATAGGTTTCATAAACTAATCATGATCAACAAAAATATTAAAATAATAAAATGATGAAAATGGCTTGGAATCTAATCAATATATATTTATGAGAGAAACTCAAAATCTAAGCAAAACCCTTCTCGTCTTCTCTCTGAAGCACACACACTCACATGATAAAAACTCTCAGAGACAGCTCTTCTCAGTTGAGAGAAACCTGAGCAAAAAAAATGTCCAAACATCTTCTCATTCTCCTCTCGCTTCTCTTCATTCTTATTAATCCCATTTCCGCCTCTCAAATTATCCAAAAATTCAAAGAAGCCCCACAGTTTTACAATTCAGCTGATTGCCCCCTAATCGATCCCGGAGACGACAACGACGATGACGTGGCAACCAAGCCAATCTTCTGCTCCCGCCGAGCCGTCCACGTGGCGATGACACTCGACGCAGCCTACATTCGCGGCTCAGTCGCCGCCGTCCTCTCCGTCCTCCAACACTCCTCTTGCCCCGAAAACATCGTCTTCCACTTCGTCGCCTCCGCCTCCGCCGACGCGTCGTCTCTACGCGCCACCGTCTCCTCCTCCTTCCCTTACCTCGACTTCACCGTCCACGTCTTCAACGTCTCCTCCGTCTCCCGCCTCATCTCCTCCTCCATCCGCTCCGCCCTCGACTGTCCCCTCAACTACGCCCGGAGCTACCTCGCCGACCTCCTCCCGCCGTGCGTCCGCCGCGTCGTCTACCTGGACTCCGATCTCATCCTCGTCGACGACATCGCCAAACTCGCCGCCACCGATCTCGCCGGCGACTCCGTCCTCGCCGCGCCGGAGTACTGCAACGCCAACTTCACCTCCTACTTCACCTCCGCGTTCTGGTCGAATCCGACGCTCTCCCTCACCTTCGCCGACCGCGAGGCGTGCTACTTCAACACCGGAGTGATGGTGATCGATCTCGCGCGGTGGCGCGAGGGCGCGTACACTGCACGCATCGAGGAGTGGATGGCGATTCAAAAGAGAATAAGGATTTATCAGTTAGGTTCGTTGCCGCCGTTTTTATTGGTATTCGCCGGTTTGATTAAACCGGTTAATCATAGGTGGAACCAGCACGGTTTAGGGGGAGATAATTTTCGAGGGTTGTGTCGGGATTTGCATCCTGGTCCGGTTAGTTTGTTGCATTGGAGTGGGAAAGGTAAGCCGTGGGCTAGACTTGATGCTGGTCGGCCTTGTCCGTTAGATGCGCTTTGGTCTCCGTATGATCTTCTTCAAACGCCGTTTGCTTTGGATTCTTGACCATTTTCGGTTTACTTTTTATAACGGTACATACATACTATAAATATACATGTGAATTTTTTTGTTTGTATAATGTAAATCTATTCATAAATCGTGACAAACAAACAAAAAAACATTTTGGTTCTGTTCGTTCGTTGTTGTTTTCGTCGGTTTTGTTTGGAGTATACAGAAAGGGGATTTTTATAAAATGGAGGGGACTGAAATTACGCGAGTTTAGAGGCCGCAAAACGCTGTGTTTGCGTTTGTGTGTTGGAACAAAATAAAAATTTGAATAACAATGGTCTGTATTAAACCGATGTTCAAAAGGCATGTTATTGAGTAAAAGACATTTACTGTTTGTGTCAAAGTATATGAGTGGATAATCAAATGGACATGATTGAATTATTGGGTGTTTTTTAAGCTGCAAAAGTCTGCGTTTGCGTTTGCATTATATGGGACAATGAACATGAGAGTAAATGGAACATTATAGAAACAGAAGTCCATTTCTGCCCAACCATACAAAAACTGCAGTATTATTGTAAATGGAAGAAGGGACATGATTTCCTCTGGACCGATTCTTCTATGTGTAGATGGTTCATAGGTCGAGGGGGCACATGTGTTGCCCCGTGTTGCAAGTTCTATTGTCCGTATTTAGAACAAAACCACGTGTCTTTAGTTTTGTTCTTTCCACGTATGTGTCCATGAGCTCCTTATGTGTGGATAGCTAGAAATCAATAATGTAAACATTGATGAAAAATGTTCTTTGTAGGAAAACAAATAACAGTAATACAGTTAATTTGTAAACAGGGATGTGTTTGTTACGAGAGACTATATAATGAAGATCAGGATGCATAATGTTAATTCATTTTCCATTAACTAAATGGTTAAAGCTTGCAGAAATAATTGAAGACAAAGTGTCGGTGATGTGAGCGAGAGAAGGTGATAAAGCACGAGCAGAGTCCCACCATGCATTAATATAAAGTTGTTTGACCTTTGAGCCTACTCTCATCATCTTTCTTTTTTATAAGTCTTCATTCCCCGTGTAACGTTTTTAAATTTCATTCTACAGAATGTAAATCATAAGATATTCTTACATCAAAATGTTAGATTAAGTGGATATTTAATTACTCTATAATATCAAGTTGGGTGACGTCTGAGCTTTTCTGAAGCAACACATGACAATGGTATAGACTATGGACCCACCTTGTCCCAAACAATACCATTCAAGATCAGACCGGAACGAGATCTCCGGCTTGGCAGATAAGAAATACAAATCAATGGTAGGTTTGTGGTTTTTTTTTCACTCAACAAAGAAAAAAGAGGTGGCGCGTCAATTTAAAATCTTGAGTTGGTCTGAAGCAACTTAATTATTCATCAAATCACACTTATTACATTTATTACATTACAATCGTACAATGACCCCACAAGTTTTTTCGGAAGGAACAAGTATGAAACAGAGAGCTTACTGGTTTTGATCTATTGATCATCTTATCTTATCAAAACCAGTGACTGACATCTCGTTTGGCCATTATCTAAACCAGACAAACATAAGTAACTTCAGTTTTGTCACAGTCAAAAAATGTATCAAGATTCTCGAGCAAGTGTAGTCCATGACGCCTTTTGTTGTAGTTGCTCTAACACTTCAGGCTTCAGGAATATGACGCTCTCATATCTTTAAACGTCAAGAATCAGGGAAAAGAGAGTTAAATAGAATCCTGGAAGAAGGATCATAATTTCAGATGATCTCCAAACCATACTATCCACGTCAATCCAAATGATACGTAGTAGTATTAACGTCCATCCCTGTTTCCCATCACTCACATCAAAGTGATGCTTGGAAGATTTTCACATTTTTCGACATCATACTTATGCTCCGGAAACAATCCTAATATCCTCAACCTCATCTGAATCCATTTCCATCTTTCTAATAATCTCTGATTCCAAAACCTGGTTTAGCTTCTTACCATCCTCTTGCTTATAAGATCCTCTAACCAAACCTTGTTCAATCATTTTGTCTTTTAAACGCATGGCGTCATCCAAACGACCACTTTTCATCAATCCATCAATCAATGTGTTATAAGTTATAGCATTAGGAGTTATCCCCTTCTGTGGAAGCTTACGTAACAGCCTCTGAGCACGATCTAGATTCCCTGACTTGCACAAGCCTTTTATCAACGCATTGTATGTAACAATGTTAGGAGTAGTACCTTTTACAGACATCTCATCTCTCAGTTTGAACGCTTCATTTACGTCACCATCAACAGCACATCCATGGATTAAGATTGTGTATGTGTATTCGTCTGGAGAAAACCCCTCACGCAGTATCAACTCCGAGAAGAGTTTTCGAGCTTCCTTGAGTTTCCCAGCTTTACAGAGACCTGCTAAAGCAACATTGTACACAATGTTGTTGGGAACTAATAGTTTCTTACTATTCTCAAGAGAATCAGCGATTTTCTGTGTTTTAAGACACGTAGTAGCACCAGGACTAAGAAACTCTTTGAAGCTCTGGTAACCAGGAAGAAGAAGATCAAAATCCACAAGCTTATGCAACAGCAAACAAGCCTCATCAATCTTGTCAAGCCGAAACAAACTAGTTGCAATCTTGCTGCAGATATTCACATTCACATCAATCCCTTTCTCTATCATCTCGAAAGCCGTAGCGTAGGCTTTCTCCATCGCTCCAATGTTACACCAGCCAGTTATAAGAGCTCCATATGTAGCAACAGTAGGAGTTAACCCTCTTGCACGTAGCTCGGTTACAAGATCCGTTACTTTATTCAAATGTCCACACTTGAAAGCAGCAGAGATCAGAGTGTTATACATCTCTATGGTGGGGACAAGTCCTTTCCTCTCCATATAATCTTTAACCCCAAAAGCTTCATCAAAGTTTCCGATTTTGTAATACCCGTGGCTCAAAACTTGATATGTTTGCACATCTGGCTTACATCTCACACTATCTAGAATCTCTTTGGCTTCATTAACCTTCTCCATTTTACACAGCCCACTGATCATTACGTTCAAAGTTACCGTATCTGTCAAAAGACCTCTTGCTAAGACGTTCTCCCACAGCTTCATGGCTTCATCAAAATCGCCAAGCTTAAAAAACGCTTCAAGTAGAATGCTACAGCTAACCTCACTGGGGCTTACACCTCTTTTTATCATCTTCTTCCAAAGGCTCACAACTTCATGATAAGCACCAATACGGCTAAAACCTTTTAGAAGAGTATTGTAAGTCATAACTGTTGGAACAACTTCTTTCTCGCCCATTTGATCACAGAGCTTTAAAGCCTCGTTGACGTGACCTGCCCTGCAGTACCCGTCCACAAGTGTGTTATAAGTATAATGATCCGGATCTTTCATCCGCATAAAGATTCGTTCCGCTTCAATTAACTGACCAGATTTGCAATAACCATTGATCAAGGAGTTACAAATGGTCGCATTAGTTCTCACTCCCTTCCTCAACATATCATCATAAACCCTAACAGCATCACTAACTTTACCACTGCGACAGTATCCATCTATCAACACACCGTACACATGCTGATCCGCTTCCTTCACAGACTCAAAAACCTTCTCCGCTTCATCCATCAAACCCTTTTTACAATAACACTTAATCAACGAAGTATACGTAACAATATTCCTAGAAACACCTCTCTCAGACATCACCCCCAACACTCTCCTCACTCCTTCCAAATCTCCAATCATAGCATAACCGTTTATCAAACTATTATAAGTAACCACATTCATCTCCAAACCAAACAAACTTTCCATCTCTTTAACAAACTCCAACGCTTTCTCCACTTCTCTATTTCTACAATAAGCATTAACAACGATACTGCAAGTAAACACATCCGGAGAAATACCTAGACTCACCATCTGATCAAAAACATGTAACGCCGTAAAGTATTCACCTTTCTTAACCAAACAACTCAACAAGCTATTACAAGACAACAAACTCGGTACTCTCCCAACGCTCCCCATGTTATCAAACACATGTAAAGCGTCCTTCACCAAACCCTTCTCCGCGTAAACTTTCATTACCATGTCAAAGACTGTCGGAGAGAAGTGGAAACTCTTGAAAACACGAACAAGCTCGTCCCAGACAACGAAACAGGAATGATCAAGAGCAACGAGTTCATTTAAATAAGCTCTTGTCTGGTCGTAAAATCTAGCTCTGGACAAGATGTGAACCATTTTGCAATAAGACTTGTAATCGGGTCGGAACTTCTGCTGTTTCGAAGCTAAATTGAAGATTTTGAGACATGCTTCGGGGTGGAGGCGTGAGTTGCGGAGGAGGGAGTTGAGGAGTTGGTCTGAGAAATCGAGGGAGAGGTCGTGTAAGGCATCGTACCTTCCGAGGATGAGTAAACGGGAGATTCGTTCGATTAATTCGGGTGGGATTCGGCCGTGTCCTACTTGTAAAGAGCGGCGTAGGGCTCTGGAGGCATCGGAGAAGGTACGAGGGTGGAGAAGTGGGAGAAGGAAATGAGAGGCGACAAGGCGTGCCGGTGATTGTCGGAGCATTAGGAAGTTGATGGTTGTGGTGGGGTGGTTAAACCTTGGGAGGCCATTAGAGTTGGGACATCTCAGGGTTCAGTTTGGTTGTGTAATGTAGAAACCTTTAAATTGGTATTTGTTTTATTGGTTTGGTTTGGTTTGGTTTGATTTGATACGGTTAGATTTAGTGTGTGTTACTAAAAATAAGTAATAGCTAAAATGATTTCCATAAAATCTGATTTATATAACTCAAATTGGTTTATACCAGTTTAGATTGAATGAAATTAATTTTAAAATGATTTAATTTTTCTAACTCAATCTAAATTAGTGTAAAACTAAGCAATAATATGCATATCCTCAAATTTGTCTATTTTATTTATTTTTTATATATAACTTTTTATAAAAATAATAATTAAACTCAAAAATTAAAATTTCTATTGTAAATAGAAAAACTATTAATTGTTGTTAGTACTCTGTCTCTACAGCCACCCAATTTTTTTTAAACATTGGATATTTGTTACTGACCCCAAGAATTGAATCGAACCAAAACGCTCATGTCAAATTCTGGTGGATGCACATAAATACAAAAAATAAAATCAATGAATAATTACACTATAAATACAATCACATGAGAGTATGGTCGAGAAATTTCATATTTTCACAAAAGAATAAGAGCATATAATACCAATCTACCAAAAGGAATCCTATAATTTAATTTCAAAAAAACAATAGAAAAAGTAAAAGACTTTTGAGTTCTTAAACCGGGAATCTCCCAGTCATCTGTATATGCTCAAGTGTTTTTACCAAACCATACTTGTGAACCGCTAACCTCCCAGCCCTAAACCCATCTCCATAAACCGGAGAAGCATCAGACTCTATCTGGTGCTTGAAAAACTCACCAAGCTTCCTCTCGTACTGTGATCTTGGTCCCTTCTTGACTCCTCTAGAAGAAGATGAAGATGATGCAGCGTTGCTGTTACTTGAACCAGTAGCTAACTCTGCTTCTAACCACTTATGAGCCATCACTTGACATATTCCTTCTTCAACATCTTGGCTCAGTGTCCGGAAACCTTTTCAAGACCACATTTTAGTTAAACGGTTCAACAAATGTGAAAACAAGAGAATAAGAAGCAGTCAAAATAGAGACAAGAAACTCTCACCTTTGAGCCGCATCCACGCGTGCATCATCTCATGAGCTAGAATTGAACCAGTGAGTAGCCTTGGGAGCCCAAATAAAATGAGAATGGCAGTAACCTCGCAACGACGTGTTAGCTTGAAACGCTCTGTAATCATGTTCCCAGCCCACTTTCCTGTGCCATGCTTTGATCTCTTTCTTACAGTGCTAACAGTTTGCTCTTCTGAAAGACAGAGTCCTCTTGTCTCTGGCATGTGATAGTGTCCCTAAGAAAGCACACAATGAAAATCTAAAACTCTTTGGACAAAATATGATATATTCTTAATTGTATTTTTTTTTTTCTACTCACATTCTTTTCACCTTCTCTGGCTTCATTAAGTGCTTGTCTCTCAACTAAGAGAAGTGGCACATCCTGCTCAACCTTCATGTTAAGTCCTTCATAGAATTCTTGTATCTGCAAGTACAGAGGTTGGCATTGAAAAGTGTCCATCACTGCAGAGTCTAGACACTCTAGGCAAAGTTTCCGTCCATCGTTAAGTTCAACATATGCTGTGTTCCGTGGCTGCAGAAATAAACAAAAACTTTGTCAACTTCCTCCCAAAAAAGAGTTTTGGATTTGATAAGATGACATTAAAAACTAACTTCCATTCTTTCACAACTGCAACATCTAGGAGTAGCATCGTGTTCGTGAGAAGGGCAATACTTCTGGACCCAAAAGGGATGTGCCCTATATTCAATTAGACCAGCATGGTTTGTTGGAATCTGTCGCAAGAAATAAAGGAACAGAAGATAAGTGCATGAAAACAACATACAAATGGGCTTTACGATGGTAAAAGGCTATTGATTTTACATACAAAGAAGCTGCAGACATCACATTTTGGATGATATCTCTCCCTGTAACAAGCTTTGTGAAAAGGGTAGTTCCCAGACGTTGAGAACTTATTAAGAAAAAAAATGAGGAAAACATGTTATACATTGTGTGATTCGAAGGTTTAACTACAACGGAAAGAATGAGAATTTGGAAAACCACCTCGCACTCAGAGATCGGGTGACTGCAACCGTAACATCGAAAACATTGTGGATGCCATAGTGCATTGAGGCAATTCAGATATCTTCCATGACCAATCTCCATATTGCAGCCAGCACATATCCTATGCAGTGACAAGTTATTTGGCTGGAAAAGAAACTAACAACATCAACTAAACTAAAGATGATTTGGTCATCTAAGTACCTGAAGTCCGTTGAAAAAGCAATAGGTCTTGGATAGTAAATATCTCCATTCGCATATACATTTCCTCCTCCATGCATATGTCCACTCCCGTAGAAATCTCCAGCCCCACCATATGCATTACCAATATCAAAATTACTTCCATTCCTAACTATCATACTTTCTTCTATGGCTCTAGCAAGTTGCTCATCTTCATCCACCATTGCGTATTTCCCTGCTTTCACTTTTTATATTACTAACCGAGTTTGAAAACAAAGCTGATGTAGCCGAAGCTACTGATAATGCAAAGATATTTGTTTAGTCTAAGAATTCCCAAATAAACTAAGTCTTCTTAAATCTTCTATCTAAATAGATCTACAGAAAACAAGGAAGAAACATAGAGAAACCTCTCTAACTTCCTAAAACCATAAGAGTGAAAGCTACATATGAACATAATTATCTAAAACTTCCTAAAGCATAGCCATAAGACTAAAACCTCTCTAACTTCCTAAAACGATAAAAACCCTAAAACAATGAACATAATTATCTAAATTTAAAATAATTAATAAAATAAAAGATAAGATAAATGAAATATTTTCAAATATCTATATATATGCATCAAAAGCAATCTTTTTCATATTTCTGTTTGGTTGAAAATGGACTAACCGGCGCCTGTATTTGTCTCTGGTCCTTGATTCTCTTCTAGAAGAGACAATGCAATTGCACGGTCTATTTCTTCATTTTCCTGGTCATTCCATGTATCCTAGTACAGCAAAAAAAAAAGAACAATAACACCATAATCTGATAAACTGAGACTATGCTTTATAGCCATATATAATCATCATATATAGTAACCTCAGAAGTAGATGGTTCCTGCTTAGGATCAGCATCTGTATCTGCACTTGGCTCAGAATGCACATTGGGATAATTGTCGTAATAACCATTTTGATAATGCTCAGTCCCCACGGGGAGCCTCTGGTTAGAGCCTTTGAAGATCTTGTTAAACCAACCCCTAGTCTTGCTCATACTCAATGCAGCTTATATTCTTTCACCTGCGCACAAAATCATATTATTCAAATTAAAAACATAGAACAAAGCTGTTGAGAACTAGTTTCACTTCCAAACATAAAAAAAAAAAAAACACATCATTCTAAATCTACTAATAAAAAAGAGGTTAAAACTCTAAACCTGCAACTAATTAGGCACAATAGCTCAAGCAATCTCCACGAAATTAAAAAAAAAATGAAAACCAAAGATTCAGAAGCCGATTCAGAGAATGGAAATTATCAATTAAATTTGAGCTTAAAAAGAAGGTTACCTGAGAAAACTTAGAACAGAGTAAGATCTAAAACACGATTTATCTCTGCTTTTAACGGATACACGAAACGACTTAATCACGAAATTGCAGCAACACAAGAATCTTAAGAAAAAAAAAAGATTTATCCTTTCTTCAAAATTTGGGATATAATCTAAGAATCTTACAAAATCAATTTTTTTTTTTTTTAAATAAGAAGGCAACTTTGACAAAATCAATGTCTTGTACTAAAAACGAATCAACCCAGAATCTGCTTCAATCAAATTCTACCCAAATTCAAAGTCAATTTTTTTGTGCAAACGCAAAAAACCCAAAATAAAATTGGCATTTTTTTATTGATGAGGATCATCAAAGAGTAAGAGATCGTTTATCGATAATTTGCAATTTTTTTAAGTCAAGTCTCGTTTGCATATCTTTTTAATTACATATTATGCAAATATCTAGATAATAACATAACCGTAACCAAATCTTCCTAATTATAATTAGGCATTAATCGAATGGCCGTCTAGTGACAATGTTTGAAAATATTCACTTTTTAATGAGTTAATCATGTTTTTACTTATTAGATAACAATCATGGTTTTATACTTTTTATACAACAACATTTGTGCTGATTTGATTCAATAAAAGTTTTAGCCGGAAAAAAAAAAAAAAAGATAACAATCATGGTTATTATTGCATTTTAGTTTGGTCTATTCACACACGTCACAAGCCGTTACGTTAGCAGATCATTATACATCTGTATACGTGGATATGTAGACTACGCGGCAATGAAGATGCAAGAAAACATTTTTGGTTAAGTAATAAAGATAAACAGTTTTTTATATATTTACGAAAACGTGTCAACTATTAACAATAATCTTGTAATTAGATAGTTGCGTCACCGTTACATTTATTCTTTATACATTCGCGGAAGTTATGGTGACCAACTGACACTGGAAGACCGTAACCGGTGCTTTTAGTGGGCTTTTAGAGGCCTATATCATTACAAGCGCATACATACGGGCCTGATCCAGTTGATGCTTAACAATTGCTTTTGTTCTTTTTATTCATGCAAGTGTTTTATGGACCCCCAACAATTAGGAATGCATGGTAAACTACTATCTAACCTACTATAAGATTAGTGTTTCAAAAAAAAAAAAAAAAAAAAAAAAAAAAAAAACCTACTATAAGATTCGACATATACAATTTAACAAGCTCCCCCCCCCTCTGTTCGAGAAAAAGAAGAAAAAGCCTTTGAACATTTGATTTGTATTAATATTCTATTTAGTTACGAGAATTCGTCAGAACTGCATAAACATCCCAAACAAAAAAATCAAAGACTTTTTGTCGTTGTAATTCATTCGTATATGTATAACCAATCTTGCAAAAGAAATTGTTATATGAAAAGAGACTTTTGTCATATTTTCTAATTTAAAACTTTTGATACGCAAGTATTAACATATTAATCACCGTTTGGTAAGTTTACACCATTCTCTCTTTTTTTTTTTAAAGCTAAGGACCACAAGAAGGTATATATATATATATGCATGTAACAGAAACAAGAATAGTATCAATCGACCATAAGAAATATTGATTCGTACCAAACAATTAAAAAGATACAATGTATTTACTCTCACTTTCATAATTTTCTCGAACCATATTCCTAACATTCTCTCTTCTGCTTGAGTATCCTTCAAACTCATTTTCTTTGTTGCTTCCTCTTCTTTCCAATTATATCATTGTATGACTATATACACATGAGTATTCTATATATACTGTATAAGTAACCATGCTCAAATTCATTGGATTTTAAATGCTTTGGGTAGTCTTAAAAGACCAATTCGACTCCGTTAATCAGCCAAATGAATTTACTTGGATAATTGTTGATTTCGAGATTAATAAATATTTTTTCAAGAATATTGATTGTACTGCATTGGATAATTGAGAATTTACCAAGTTAAACTATACTTCTGAGTTGTGCTTTTTTTCTTTTGTAACTTATAGTTGTGACTTTATTAACTTAATCTTTTTTTTTTATGCTCTTTTATGTTGTTTTTTTGGTAAAATGTTAAACATGCTCTTTTATGTTTGACTTGAAGGTTTTCCACGCACATTCAAAACTGAAAAAGTTGGTTTACTCGGTACATATGTTAATATTACCACCATCATATGTATACGCCTAAACATTATTAACTAAACGTTTAGGCCCTTTAGGGGTGATTCTCTGTGACATCTGACATGCATGAACTGGACATATAAAATATGGTAAAATATATACGGGCATGAAATATGTTTTCTTCGTCCATGTGAAATAAAAAATAATGCTAATTAATATCAAAAGCCATCGCATATGACATAACAGAAGAATTGTCAACACAAAAAGGCTAGTCTTATTTCAGAGACTTGTTTTTGTTTGTATATGTGTATGAATATAATTTTTCAAATTCAAGAAATTTTCAAGTCAAAAACCAACAAAAAAAACAATACATTCTTTTAATTTGATAGGACAATGATTTATTTGCAAGCTCACGTCAGTCTATTTCATAAATGTATCTTAATATTTAGTTTTTCAAGATAATCTATATTATTATTATTTTTCACCAGGTATTTTGATCTTTATCCAACATACATTATAGTTATAAGTATAAATTTATAATATCAAAAATCTTTACTGACCAAATTATTTTACACTGTGCAATTAGTTCATTAATTGTATATTCAATTTTAAGATGATATTAGCTTTTGGCCGCTTTATATGCTGTTATTAATTTCGGACACAATTTTCATAATATATATAAATTTGATGACCAAGTATTGTGAGATTTCAATCAAAGTGTATTATTATTATGCTTTTGTAGTTTTGGTGCCGTGACGCTTTTATACAAACGATATCAAATAAACAAATCAAATTGTTGTTAGAGAGTTCACAATCACATTTGAGAGTCAAATATAAACTATAAGGCATGACTTGTTGTCTGCTGTTTTAAAATTCAAAACTTGCGTGGACTTATTATTTTATACTAAATTTTAGGAATAAAGATTTAGTCTAATATTAGGATAGTAGAGACAAGAAGAAAATAAAAATATAGCAGTCACAGTTCAAGAACCAGGCAAAAAAACAGATTAAAGAATAGACCAATAAAGGATTCAAATAATTTTCTAAAGCCTATTCACCAAAAGCCATGTATATATAAATGCAGTGTACTATTTTGTGGTTATTTTTCTCTTTGTTCAAAACTTAAGATCTTATATTTTATTGGAATAGTTAGACTAGATCTTTATATCATTGAAGTCCCTCTGGTTGCTGCATTATATTTCCGTTCACGAGTGTGAACATAAGAAGTTTGGGTCTGAAAAATAGATTAATTATATTTTCTATTTTTAATAACTCAAACTCAAAAGCACTTATTAGTCTATAAGATTATGGAAATAAACAAAATAAGGCAACATCTACAAATTAAAAACGAAGAAGTCACTTTTACATTTTCTCTCTTACATTAAAAAGTTATTTTATTACTCAAATTTAAGATAATTTAGGTGATTAGACCAGAAAATCTCCACAAATCTTTTTAATAGCCTATTTTAAGGAAATATTTGTCAAATAAATTATATCTATGTAAAGTAGATAAACTATAGTATCCATTATATATATATAGCTTTTTTACTGGTATAGATACAGTTGTTGTCTAGCTATTTTTAAATCTGTTTTCGTTTTATAAACGGAATTTTATTGGCGAGGAAAAATACGCTAGAAACGTAACAAAACATTAAATTTGAAGCAATGGAAAATGAAGATCATCTACCATCTTATTCATTTAGGCTTTAGTTAATGTTCTTAGATGGTATTCAGAATTCGAAGATAATGTTGTATTCTTTGATATACATCTCTACATGAGGAGATTTCGAGAACGACACGAGAACCGAACGGAGTTTTTGTCTATTTCCTAGTTTATATGATAAAGTTACTCAACCCATGGACTAATAAGCTCTTAATCAAATTCAAGAAGACAAATAAATTAAGCAAGTTATAGAAATAATAAAAAAGAAATATTCTATTAGACTTCTTGAAAGAACTTAGAAATTTAACACGAACAAATACAAAAGTGAGAATTATTGATCTCACAGCGCACGCTTGCAGAAATTTCCTTACAATAGCCTCCAAATTTCTCAAAGAAAGACACATTAGTATACTTTAGATCTTTCAAAACCAAACCAATATTCAAAACCACGTGCTCCCTAATAAAATTCACACCTGCTGCCTTTGAGTGCAAGGCGTGACCCAACCAGAGAAAAACCTTATAAATATGTCCCATGCAACAAACTCACAAACAACTCAAAACACTCTTCATCAAAACAACTTTTCTCTCACAATCTCCCTCCCAATGGCTTCTAACGATAAGCTTAATCCTTCCAGAGTAGCGATCATTGGTGCTGGTGTTAGCGGTTTAGCAGCCGCTAAACACTTAGCTCATCACAACCCGATTGTTTTCGAAGCCTCGGATTCGGTAGGAGGTGTTTGGAAGAGCTGCACTTACGAGACGACTAAGTTACAATCGACTCGAGTGGATTATGAGTTCTCTGACTTTCCATGGCCCAATAGAGATGACACTACTTTCCCATCTTACGTTGAGATATTAGAGTACTTGGAATCTTATGCTAAGCATTTTGATCTCCTTAAATTCATGAAGTTTGGCTCTAAGGTCATCGAAGTTAGGTACACCGGTGATGGTGGAACTCCACAGATGGCTGCTGACCTTGGTGCTTACGGCAACTTTTTGTCCGGAAAACCTGTATGGGAAGTTGCCGTTCAAAATGGGGATGCTGGAGAGATTCAGGTTTGTCTTAATTCATATCGTATATTATATTACTGATTTGAACAAAAAAAAATCGTATATTATTGCATGCAGATCACTCTGCATTCTTATATAATATTAAAAAAAAATATTTTCTTATGATTTTTTGTCTATAAGAACTTAGGTATCTCAAATTAAATCTTAAACTGATCTCTAGAATTATGTGACAAGAAAATATTAATATCCTCAGTATATATAACAGCCATGTAATTTTGGCTATGGCTAAAGAGAATTTAAAATATGTATATGAATCCGAGTTTTTGTTGTTAACTAACAACTCTTTTTGGAACCAACTTAAATATATATTTAAAACCTAAAATTGTAATTAAAGAACGTCCAAGTAGCTTTTGTAAACTAGTGCCATGCATCAGTAGTTAACTCGAATTTACGTCTTCTTGTTCTTTAGTATTTTTATGTTATCTATGTCTATTTGTGAATCGTCATTGTGTGTGCAGTGGCATGCATTTGAGTTCGTGGTAGTGTGCACTGGAAAATACGGTGATGTACCAAGAATACCGACGTTTCCTGTGAATAAAGGGCCGGAGATATTCAAAGGGAAAGTGATGCATTCGATGGATTATTGCAAACTAGAGAAAGAAGAAGCTTGTCATCTCCTCCGTGGAAAGAAAGTCGCCGTCATTGGCTTCAAGAAATCAGCCATTGATTTGGCTTTAGAGTCTGCTTTAGCAAATCAAGGTATATGCATAAAATATATTCTCTTTGTTTCACAATATTTTGATTAATTAACACTTAATTTTTAACTTCACTCTAACAATTTACTCAAGTCAAAATATAATATATGTATATAGCAACCATACCTATATAAATACATATATTATTTTTTCGGTGGACTTGGACCGTTATTCTGATTGACACAATCAAACAGCTGCTCACAAGTTTTATAATGAACCGACAAATTAAATATTCCAATATGACCCCCGTTCGGATCATTAATTATTTGATCAGTATGATTCCAATAGTCAGATAAAATGTATGAATATTGCAGGAGAAGGTGGGCAAGCGTGCACAATGGTGGTGAGAACGACACATTGGGTGGTCCCACATTATTGGGTGTGGGGCTTACCATTCTTCTTGTTCTACTCTACAAGAGCTTCTCAATTCCTCCATGATAGGCCTAACCAAAGCTTCATTAGAACTTTCTTTTGCCTCCTATTCTCTCTTCTGGTTTGTGATCTTAAAACCTATATATTACTTTGGTCTCTGTAGATGCGTGATTTTATGTGGATTTTCTAAGTAATTTTTTTTTATAAACATATATGACAATACAGCGTGCAGTGGTTTCCAAATTCATTGAATCATATGTTATGTGGAAGCTTCCTTTAGAGAAATATGGTCTTAAACCGGACCATTCTTTTGAAGAAGACTATGCCTCTTGCCAAATGGCCATAATGCCTGAGAATTTCTTTAAGGAAGCGGATAAAGGGATGATCCGGTTTAAGAAAACATCAAAATGGTGCTTTTATGATCAAGGGATTGAGCTTGAGGATGGGACTACGTTAGAAGCTGATGTTGTGATACTTGCAACTGGTTATGATGGCAAGAAAAAGCTCAAAGCCATTGTTCCTGAACCCTTTCGAAGTTGGCTTGAGTTTCCATCCGGTGTTATGCCTCTATACAGGTACACACAACTATAAAATAAAAAAAATTATAAAATCGTCATCACAAGAATCTATGAATATAATCTTGTGTAAATTAAATTGATATAGTGAATTAACCGGGACAAATCTCGTAAACAGTTTTTTTTGTCACCAAATTATGAGAAAATTTCCAAAATTATCATTTATTAATCAGTAAAAGCACTATAAGTTACTCTACATCATAAATCATAACTCATCTCACCCCTTAAATATCAAACCCAAAAAAGTGCTATTTGAGAATAATCCTAATTAGTACTAGTTCAAGTCTATTTTGTGAACAACGTACTAGTTCAAGTCTATATTGTTGCTTATAATGACAAAACCAAATTTCAGGGGAACAATCCATCCACTGATACCAAACATGGGTTTTGTGGGATACGTTCAGAGCAACTCAAACCTACACACGTCAGAGCTACGTTCGCTGTGGTTAAGCCGGCTCGTGGATGGAAAATTCAAATTACCGAGCAAAGAGAAAATGTTGGATCAATTCTCCAAGGAAATGGAAGTGATGAGAAGATCGAGCCGATTCTATAAACGTCATTGCATTTCTACCTTCAGCATCCAACATGCCGATGATTTGTGCAATGATATGGGACTCAATCCTCGTCGTAAATCCAACTTGTTTCTCGAAGCCTTTAGTGCTTATGGTTCTCAAGATTATCGACTCAATCAAGAAGAAAAAAACTAATTGAATATAGTACTAGTGAAAAAAAAATAACGAACTTAGATCTGATGCATGTGTATCGTGTAAAATAATAAAACTGTGTCAGTGAGTCATTGAATAATCATGTATGTTTGGCTTTTATAAAAATATTCTGTACACTCTTGTAATTGTTTGAATATATAAAGGTGTATCAATTTTAGTATTTAATTCACATTATTTTACCTTAATCAAAAGCATTTTCTTTTCAACTGGCCAAATTCTCATTCGTTGTACTTAAAAAAAAAAGAGAAATTAAAAGTAAAGTAACTTATATTCATTCAGTAAAGAAACTTATATTTCTTATTTCCTCCGTTGCTCCTCTCTAAACCATTCAACGGATCCTGGCTCCTTTTGTGACCCAGTAGAAGTGAGCACTCACTGCTTTTTTTTCTCTCCTGTTGAAGTTGGGGTTCTGTATGAAGATGTATAGCTACAAAGAAATAAACATCATCGGGTGGTGGGCCTAGTAAAATTGTCAAATATCAGAAAAGGCCTGAAATAAATTGGGCTTAATAATTAAACGGTGCTATGTGCTGTTGTTAATATTTTATTTATTGGGCTAGTTAAACAATACTTTAGAAATAGGAATACAAAAATTGACAGCTAGTTAAAAAGGGACTTCCACTGTATTTTTTTTATAAAGCGTAGGGCATAATTTAAGGAATTCTTATTTTGGGTAATAAAGTAAAACTTTAGTTCAAAAGTGAAGTAAATGCTTTCCTTAGTTAATTAATATCAGAAGTATCCTAATCCTAAAAGTAAGATACGTGAGGCATGAAGGTGAAGAGTGACAATTGATTGAACATGAGTGGGGGAAAGGATACAAAGGAGGTTAACTTCATCCAGCACATTATCAGACGGACCCCACAATATTATATAATGTTGGATACCATGTAATTTAATAAAATTCTATATACCATCAAAATCAATGAACTAAACTCTATGAAATCTCTATGTTTTAGAGAAATTAGAATAACAAAGATGTCAGACATCATTAATCTTCATATTATATATGTGTTGGATGTATTTATGTATTAAAAGAAAAGTGTTCTATTTTCTAATTTGTCTCAAAATTTGTGAGTTAACCCCTACAAAAAGATCAAGTTTTCGGTAAATATTATATATTGAAGTTTAACTCTTTCATGTTGATTAAAAATACCTTCAAATTATACATTTTTATTAATGTATGTTAAACTTATTTTCATAGTACATGATCATCCTTTATAATTTTCAAAAGAGTAATTTATTTAAACTTCATATACCACGTAATTAGTGGATTAATCCCTACAATTTTTTTATTTTTCGGAGAAGCGGGAACAGTTAAGGTCTCAATCCACTTTATTCTTCATATTATATCAGTGCATGATACATAAATTAATAAAAATAAAAATTCCATATTTTCTAATTTATCTTGAAATATGTGGAATAACCACTATAAAAAGATCGAGTTTTTCGAAAAAATTATATATAAACCTCTATATTTTAGTTTAAAGACCTAACCACATTGAAATTTTTTATTAATGTAATAAACTTATGTTCATGGTATATGGAAATCAGTTCTAATTTTCAACAGAAAAATTTAATAAAAAAAAACTCCATATACCAACAAAACCAATGTATTAAACTTTATAAAATCTCTATTTTCTAAAGAAATTTAGACAATTAAGATAGCAAATTTTTTGATATTCATCATATATCAATGATGAATACATCTATGCATAAATAAATAAAAAATATTTTTCCAATTTATCTTGAAATTTGGACAACTAAGATAGTCTGATTCCTACAAAAAAAAATCGAGTAACTAAAATTTAAATAGACGCACTATTTCAAAAAACAATTTCATTACACAGATTTCAAGGTATTTCTTTAAAAAAAAAATTGCAATAGAAAGACATAATCTTTTATTTAGATGATTTTTGACATTAATTGAGATTGTTTTTTTTTGGCAACAATTGAGATTGTTATTAGTAATATATATTGCCGTCTGATAAATCTGTATATGACGGCATCTATATTTGAAGATAACCTAACGAGTAACACAACTTTTTTTGAATTGACCAGTAACACTATAGTCTTCTTCAAACATTATTTTATGAGAAAAATTTATCTGATTTTTTAATTATATAAAAGTAGTAAGATCAGATCATTTTAAATTGGTATTTTCGTTTTAACAAAATATTCTTTGAATTTGTAATTGTAAGAGCTTCCTATGGAAAATGGTATACGATATATACATTCTGATAAGAAAAATAAAATAATAGAAAAATAAAAGAAACCCTGGAAAATAATAAAAACAAGATATCTGGTGATTGGGACCTTAGTGGTATATTCACCAACAGTATATGATCTAATCCATTTACGTAAGTTTCTGCCGACACGAATCTATGCCAACGCCATTAAATTAGACCAAACTGATTTAGTTGTCCATTCTTATTCTTAATAGTTAATACAATCAGAGCGTATAATAGGATCCCATCAAGGCAAGTTTATAGTTTGGTTGTTGCTTCTTATTGTAAACCACATATGGAAGCTAGAAATAAAAGCAAACGAACACACAACGGCACTTTCAACGGATATGATAATAATATGTATATTTCATTGCTATCATTTATCAAATTTCTAAATAGTTTTTTTTTTGGTATATCTTGCTTTTCCTTGTATGCAAAACCAAACCAGATAAATTTAGTTGCAATTCTCTAGTATATGCCATTCCAATCAGATGAGTTTTATCTACTGATTTCGCATTCGTAGTATGTTCATAATTTACAAAATGAGTATGTTTATATTTTATACCACTTTTAAGTTTGGGATCAAAGCACAAAACAGACAAGAATACAAGAACAATAAATGTAACGTCTAATTAAGTTCTAGTTAAAATAGATAGATGACGCTTTAAGCAAATGTTATTGTTGGGACCGTCTAAACGACGATACCTTGGTCGGTTAATCTCTCTATCTATCAACAAAGTTAAGATCAAGGATGAACTGTCGTCATATCGTGTTGTAACATGTAGAAATACATAAAACAGCACACGTAAATGGTACCATAATTTTTTTTTCCATTTCCGCATTGGAACTAATAAAAGAATATGTTATATCCCTTGACTAAATCATACAAAATAAAAAATAGAGATTCATTTATATAGAACATAACCACATAACGAGATTGATATGATATAAATATAAATACGATCTACACGTACAACTAAAACAATAAAACAGTGATAGTTAGGGGATATATTAATACATAAAGATTAATTAATAAGCCTAATTAAAGGAGCGGAGCGGAAAGAAAGGCATGTCGAGTGATTTCCTAACATGGGATCGTTCCAACAGCATTTCATACGTCACCAGCTGTGTAATTTCACTACACCTAATCATTATGTTTGCTCTTATGTCCTCTACCACAAAACCACATATACACACAATTTTTTGCTGATTTTCTGTTTTAAACTTACGTTTCATGCTAATTATAGTACTAAACTACTAATACATCCATACGTTTTTTTTTTGTAACAGTAAGAAAACCAGAAATGGAGAAGAAAGGAAAAACGTGTAATGTTGATGGTAAAATTCTCTGTTGATTGATGACTGAGAAAGGGAGAAGTAGTTGAGTCTTGTCGCATATCATCTTCGCTTTTACTAACGTTGGGTTCCCACATATTCTTAATCTTCTTCCATTGGATGTATTGTCCTTAAAACTCTATTTTTTACTCCAAAATAGAGTAAAAATAATTATGGAGTGAAAATACAATAACCTCACTTTATTACCAACTCCATAATGAAGTAGTGAACAAAGAAAAAATAGATTACTCCATTTATGGAGTAAATTTCATTATGGAGTAAGATATGGAGTGGAGTTGGAACATATTTTACTCCATAATCACTTTTACTTCATTTTGAAGTAAAAAATGTAATTGGGTTGGAGATGCCCTTAGTGTTGGTTGATATTTGTGAATACGTGTCATTCTTATAATTAAAGAGCATAGTTTTGTTTTGTCAACAGTATAATTAAAGATCATACCAATCGTATAAATTTACATGTTACTATTATGCATCTTTTCCCTAGTGTCTTATATTATTTCTCTGTGATCAAAGTTAGTATTCTTGGAATGAGATGAAACCAAAGTTAGGCGTGATATCTATTGTGACGATGGATATATTTAGTTGCCATGAAACATTGGTCAAATGTTATTATGCCCGAATTTTAGTTTTTTTTTTTCTAATGAAACCAAAATTGAGTTTGGACTCTATAGTCGTAATCTTATATGTATTGTGTGTTTTAATGTTAAGAATGAAACATTAATCAACTGTTAAGATATCTCAGTCTATTATAGACTTATAGTACTCCTTCCGTTTCATTTTATTTGTCATTCTAGGTTTTTGCACACAGATTAAAAAAATATTTAATTTTACATATTTCCAAAACAATTACCTATACACCTAACCACTTTTAAACTAATAAAAAAATAGAATATTATATAAAACTAATCAATTTTACATCGAAATTTTAAAACGACACTTAATTTGTGACAAAAAAATAAGTCTAGAATGACATATATTCTGAAACGGATGGAGTATTATCTATGTAAAAATTATCAACCAAGTATTGAAGTAACCAAGTAAGAAAGATAGCCTATCGGAAACTAGTCCATTTTTCATTAGGCGATAACCTATATATTATATCATTTCTACGCGTTTTTAATGTCATGTTACATTTGTATATTATTTTTTTTCTAAAATTTTCTACTATAACATCCAAAACATATAATAGATAATTACATGAAATCCCGGAAATATTGACAACACTAAGCCATTAGCTTGTCATGGTGTTGGACATTAGTCTTTCAAATGAAAAAGTGCGCATGTTCAATCATAATCTTTTACTTCATTTTGTAGAATCAATTAAATGATATTCATAGATATAATTCTGAGAATATTATCATCATGGCAAGAAGATACAAGTTTCAATCCAGAAGGTTACGATATAAAAAGAATAATTTTGGCATAAGATTTCTTCCTTACGCCGAAAGATTAGGGTGACATGCAGAACAAAATCTTAAGCGGCCAGGAACATCTTAGATTCTTAGTAAACTAAAAATATTAGTTTACAAAAATAAGAAGTTACGTTACAACATGCTTAGTCAAGGTGTTATAGG